GTTTGTTTTATAATCAATAGCATTATATATGAACAAATACCTTGGACTTGCAACTTTGCAGAAATAATAATCTCTTTTCTCCATTAAAGAGTAGAGTGTTGGCATTTCCATTCAAAAGCACGACTATATATGAATACGGGATATTGGTAACAATTGATCGATTGTCCATGGGTAGGAACTAGGATTTTAATCAATATATATAAACACGTTAGTACGTTACACTTGATGCGTGCTTTAGTCTTCTTGCAATCAACACAACAAAAACTCCAAGATTACTACACATTTTCTCTATATTTTCTATTGTGTGGGCAATAGTTAGAGACTATATAATAAAAAAAAAATTAAAAACGAAAAGGAAACATCCTTTTTTTTTTTTTTTCATAATTTCATTTTTTAAAAGATATGGAACATATATAGACCTAATAAATTGCAATAATTTTGGTAAATGCAATATCATGTATTATGTCTATATTAATTATAGATATTTAATTGCAATAATTTCGATAATTATAATTAACTCTTATAATTTAACCATAGTTCTTATTTTCAAGCCACCAAATAGACCTGATCGGATACAATTGATTAACACTTGAGCATTCAAGATTAATTGATTAATTTCGACTAATGATTGAAACTGCTCTCTTTTAATAATTAATAGAAATTATTGAAACTTTTCAATAATTAATTCCTCCTTACATGTTGTTAACATTTCGTCCTTGTCAATCACTAAAATAATTATAAGCGACTATTTTGATCAATGATATTGTTAAACTACTGAAGTCATATTAAATTGCTTGTTAAAAAAAAAAAAAACTTTATAAGTATAATTTATCAGTACTTAACAATATAAGTACTCAAGAAAAATGAAAAAGTGAAGCCCCATGGTCTACTTCAGTGCACAGAGAGAGAGAGAGAGCTGTTTTTTTCTTTAGAACATCTCCTGTGAAATTGTGAATTACTTAAAAAATAGTGTCGCATAAAACAAAATAAACGATATATAAAAAATTAATCTCCAATGCAAGCTAACTAGGACTTCGTCAAGTGATGTAGCCGAGTAAAAAATAGACAATGTCTAGATGTCTGTCTAAATCTAAAGACTCAATTAGATCATGTTTGTTATTTCTCTCTATTTTTTATTGTATTTATTTCTCTTCGATTTAAAAAAATAAAATGAATTTGGCTATCTATTATTTGAAATCACTGCCATAAACTAGAAGTCTTCCAAA